AGCAGAATGACAGCGAGCCTACTGAGTGGTGGTGGCGGCGGCAGGTGCAACGGGGCCGAGATGAACAGGAGTGGCACGTGGCGTTGGACTGCCAGTTTTGGCCCAATCCCTACAGGCCATGCCAAGGGACCCTACCGGTGCACGAACCTGTGCACCGGGCCTCTAGTTAAAATATAATTAACTAATTGACTGTCAAACATTATATTATAAAAACAAAGCAAAACAATAAAGAACTTATATTACCCAAAATAGCAACATTTTTCACTGTGAATAGTTTTAAAATATAGAAAGTAATAAACATTATTGATAATCCCATAATCCCACTCTTAAAATTTCATGAGTTTACTTCTGGCTTTGTTTTTATTATTATTTTTTTAATCCTCACCCAGGAGTAAGGATATTTTTCCATTGATTTTTTTTTTTTTTTGAGTGAGTGGAAGGGAGAGAGAGAGGGAGGGAAGTGAGAGAGAGAAAGAGAGAGAGAAAGAGAGAGAGAGAGAGAGAGAAACATTGATGTGAGAGAAACACTGATTGATTGCCTTCCACACACGCCCCAACTGGGGGTCAGGTTTGAACCTGTAACCGAGGTACATGCCCTTGACCAGAATTGAACCCTTAACCCTTTGGTCCTCAGGCTGATGTTCTGACCACTGAGCAAAACTGGCCAGGGCCTGGCTTTGTTTTTTATACATATTTACTATATACTGTATTTTGTTTTACTTTTACAAGAAACATGATCATTATGATATGGTTGATTATTTAGGCTATTTCCAATATTTTAATAATATCCTGTGGTGAGTATCTTTAAACTTAAGTATTTGACCACATTTCTGATAAGCTCCTTAGAATAACTTTTAGAAGAGTAATAACCTACTTGAAGGTTATAAACTTTTAAAAACTCTTGATATATATTGGCAAATTAGCCTTCTAAACTCAGAAGTTCAAGGATTATACTCCTAAAATCAATATGAAAGGGTACCTACCAATCATTAATTTTTTTTCTTTAACACTGAACAAAAACAAATTTTAAAAATCTATCTAATGAGTCAGTTCTCAAAATACTTGCCAAACCAAACTAGCCTTTATTTTGGTTAGAGTCTGTTTTAAATTGTGTCTTTTAAGAACTGACATGAACCCTGGCTGGTGTGGCTCAATTGGTTGGAGCATTGTCCTATATGCTTGGAGCATTGTCTGTTGAAAGGCCACGGATTCAATTCCTGGTTCAGGCACATACCCAGGTTGTGGGTTCAATCCCCAGTCGGGGCCATGCACAAGGCAACCAATTGATGTTTCCCTCTCACATCAATGTTCCCCTCTCTCTAAAATAAATAAAAGCGTGTCCTCTGGTGAGAAAAAAAAAAGCTGACGTGTTTAAAAAACAAAGAACTGACATGACATAAAAATGATGAAGTGGAATAAATCAGGTAGTTACTGATGAAGGAAAATGCCAATTACCATTCATATATGACAAAATATATCTTTGGGGGAGTCTTTATTAGAGAGTATTTATTAAACACCAAATTACTTTTCCCCCCACATCTTTATTGATACATAAAATAACAGATAATATCGTGTACATTTAAAGTGTATAATGTGATGGTTTGATACATGTATATATTATGAAATGATTACCACAATAAGGTTAGTTAACACAACCATCACCACACATAATTACAATGTCTTTTGTATTGAGAACATTTAAGATCTACTCCTTAAGATCTACTCTCTTAGCAACTTTCAGGTATATAATACAAGTAGAGGCCCAATGCATGAAATTTGTGCAAG